CAAAAAATGAACAAAAATTACTGTGGATGATATCATAAATACTGTAACCCAAAGCAGTACCTGCATATAATAAACATTGGTTTCTTTTAAACAAAGACAAGCAGTTTGAGCGGTTTCGGAAAACCGGTCCCATCACATCAGCAAGTGGTAACGTTCCTTGTCAGGAGTTCATTACCGCAGATGATTGATTATGTGTCGCTATTGGAATCTAGAACGAGAGCGAGTGCCTTCCAAAGAAAATCGCCAACTCAACCAAGGGGTATTTTTTAAATAATTATGAATGACGGTTGCGGCTTCCAAAACTTTAAGGCCTACACTTCACTATTCTACCAGATCACGCGTTAGACGTGCTTTATCATTTCTACATGATTAGCATAAGTTGCCCCTTCAAGGGTAGAAATTAAACTGTTTGCACTTGTACGTTATTGGCAGAATTTTTACGTAAATTTTTAAAAAGTTATTAGTAAATAAATCTGTCATATTTTATCCTTCTTGTGGGTGTTTCACGAGTGTCAGTCGAGGTACCTTCAATCTTGTGTATTCGTTTCTCTCTAGCCGCACCGCAAAGCAAGTAATTTCAGCATCGCATCATGTGGTTCACTGAGTGGTAGGTACTGTTTAGGCTTAAACGGTTGCTTGCACGTATTTTCTCGGTTTCTTATTTCTTTGACCTTTATTTCGCAAGTGGTTAACTGCCAATTCAGTCGGGATGCCGACCATCGTGAACTATTTCTAAACTTCATCTCACCCAGCGGAATATATTCAGCGGATTCAGAGAAGAGGAAAATATATTTAAATTTCGATCATGGATAGATATCACTGTCGAGTGATGGGCATCATCACTATGTCACTTTGGTCGATGGCGTTTGCTCGGGCACCATTCCAGGCCCTGATTTGAACAGGAGAATAATAAACCATTTATAATTAAGATGAAGTCTTACGATTCGATGGCTGGCGGCACCAAAAGAGTTTGGAACCGGCAGATTTGTTATTAAATAAAATATTTTCTAAGTACCGTATCAATCAGTAGATTAAAGTCTATGTTTATATCAGTATATCCTCGAATGATTCATATTTGTAATCAAAAATAGGATTTGTTTACTCTTGTTAGCGCATGAGCTGTTTTTTATGAGGAAATGAATCTAAGATTTGTTGCTTAACTTGTTTTATTTTTTATATGCACATTAACAGTTAATAATTCTTGACAAGGCAAGGAACGCATTATTTCTGAATATTTTTTTTTATAAATCCTCTTGATGTTACTTAGTATTTTCCAGAAAGGCGCGATTGTTACTGGTGATACATTTTCTTCTGCTTTTGATTCATTTCTCTATTCTACTCCAGATTTGTCTGCGAAGAATTTTAACGACACTTCTGATCATGATCATCAGCCTTTTTCAACCCTCTGCTGCATAAGGTCTCTGAAACTTTGCCACAACCTTCTGTTTTCTGTGATTCTTATAATTTTGATCCAGCGAGCTTCTTCAGCTCATGCTGCCGTCGATTTGAAG